AGAAGAAAATTGTGTTTTCTCCTGCATAAATCCATGTTTCTTTACAGCAACTTCTTGGAGACTGTATCGACGTCTCGCCACAAGAGCTTCAGGTTTTCGCTGAAGGAGAAAATAGTGTTTCTCCAGATGAACTTAATCGAAGTACTTAACTCACCCCTCACCCTCGTTAATAAATCGTTCTTTTGGCACAAGAAGTTCGTGTTTACTGCCGGCTAAGTCGATGGCACAAGAACCTCATGTTTTCGCTTGAATAGATTGATTTTTGGTTCGTGTTCTCTGCATAATAGATCGATTTTTTGGCTTCCGGTAACTCTGGTGGTGTGTGTTCAATAATTGTGTCAGCAATATCATCGTTCGACGTTGTTGAAGGCGTCGAAGGTGTACCTGGAACAAGTGTATCTGATATTTGGGTTTCTTGACTTAATGGATTCGGCGAGTTTAGCGGATGGTCGTCAGACCCCACTAATTGTCTATGTAATTCAGGTTAATTGCTAGCCATACTCAGATGAGAGACGGAGAAAGAGGAGTTCGACAAATTCCTTCAATAATTATCACGAGGTGACGGTGTCCGATAACCGCATGTGATTAGACAATCAAGTGAACCATGACTATGTAACTTGCACTCAATCACCTCGCCCTCCCCACCCACATCACCCACTCACACACAAATATGTGAGACAACAAATAAGTCCTTAACGATAGGTAATTGAGCAATCAGGATAGCGAATGTGCTTTATCCTTCATTTAACAAGTCAGACGACAAACGGGAGAGTTAGAAATCTTTCTTTCTTGACAAGAAATGTAAAATTAGAAAACCCGATGTTAGAGAACAAGGAAGTGAAAGAAAGTTTGACTACTTTCAAGAATTTAGACGAAAATTTTTTTAAATTATTCTTGCTAATGTACAAGTTTAATGATAGTAATTAGACAATTATATATGTGATTCGCAGATATCTGACTCACTTGTGCTGAAAATACCATGAACTAACAAGAAGTGATTAGACAATCACAATAGGAATATACCTTATTTCTTATTGATCAAGTCTGGCGGCAGATGAAAAGGATTGGAAAAAACTCTTTTTTTCACTTATATAGAATGGTCCGACGACCGATAGATGGAGGACCTCGAGAACACTCTCTCCCATCTATCTCCTAAAAAGGTCAGACGATAAGAAAACCAAAGAAAGTGTGAGAGCTTTCGAGGAATTAGGCAAACTTCTTGGATAATCAATACGTGGTGATTAGACAATCTGTTTGGTATGATTATTCATCAGAACAATCAAACATGGCATTCCCGTACGCTGGGTACAAAACGATTATGCACCTGAACAATCGGACCATACAACATTCTATTAACAGAACATTCTTTTACTAGAATTTTGTTTTTCTTCGTTCTTTAGTATTTCGTACTTTTTTGTATATAAAGCAGACGCCTTTTTACAGTTTTCTGTACTTCTTATCAATGTACTGAAGAAGAAAATTCGAAACCGGTCTACATTGAATAAATAACAGTACCAAATCTACTAATTAAAGAGTAGCGGTCGACGCTGAAGACTATGTAATTTACTTAGACAAGTGAATAGAACTGGTAGAGATGGATGACATCCATTTTGCTAATTCTCGAGTGTTCAACCAACTCGTGTATAAATCAATGTTTCTCCACAAGAAGTTCGTGTTTTCTGCCGAACATGACGATGTTTCTCCACGAGAAGTTTGTGTTTTCTCCTAAATAAATCAATGTTGCTCCACAAGAACTTTTTTTCTCGAGACAGTTTTCTCTAGAATAAACGAACACGTATTATTTTGAAGAAATCGATGTTTTTCCACCAGAAGTTCGTGATTTCTCGCGAATAAATCCATGCTTCCTTACAAGAACCTCATGTTTACCCGTGAATAAATCGATGTTTCTCCACAAGAGAGAAACGCCGTTTTTTTTCAGAAGAAAAATATGTAGTTCTTGTGAAACACCTAGTTCTTGTGGAGAAACACCAATTTCTTCGGTGGAAAACATGATGTTCTTATGGAGAAACGATAGTTTCTTCACGGGAACATTTGAAGTTGTAATGGAGAAACACCGATTGCTTGCGGAGAAAAACATGTAGTTCTCGTGAAACACGTAGTTCTTGTGGAGAAACGATAGTTTCTTCACGGAAACGACGATTTCTTCAGGGAGAAACATGAGGTTCTTATGGAGAAACGCTGATTTCTGCCGCAGAAAAATATGTAGTTTTGGTAGCAGACCGGCTTCTTCAGTGAAAACTCTGAAGTTCTTGTGGANATTTGAAGTTGTAATGGAGAAACACCGATTGCTTGCGGAGAAAAACATGTAGTTCTCGTGAAACACGTAGTTCTTGTGGAGAAACGATAGTTTCTTCACGGAAACGACGATTTCTTCAGGGAGAAACATGAGGTTCTTATGGAGAAACGCTGATTTCTGCCGCAGAAAAATATGTAGTTTTGGTAGCAGACCGGCTTCTTCAGTGAAAACTCTGAAGTTCTTGTGGAGAAACGCCGATTTCTTCACGGAAAAATATGAAGTTCAGGTGGAGAAACACCCATTTCGTCAGCCAGAAATGTCAAGTTCTTCTGGAGAAACGCCGATTTCTTCCGCAGAAAAATGTGAAGTTCTTGTGGAGAAATGCCGATTTCGTCACGGAGAATACGACGTTTTTATGGAGAAACACCGACTTCTTGGGTACAAAACAAGAACTACTTATGGAGAAACGCCGATTTCACCAGTGAAAAACAAGTTCATATGGAGAAACGTCGGTTTCTTCCGCAGAAAAATACAAAGTTCTTATGCAAAACACTGATTTCTTCATGGAAAAGGCTAAAGTTCTTGTGGAGAAACGCCGATTTCTGCATCGAAACATGTGAAGTTCTTGTGGAGAAACGATAGCTTCTTGACGGAAACATTTGAAGTTCTTCTGGAGAAACGCCGATTTCTTCAGGGAGAAACATGAGGTTCTTATGGAGAAACGCTGATTGCTTCCGCAGAAAAATATGTAGTTTTGGTAGCAGACCGACTTCTTCAGTGAAAAATATGAGTTTCTAATGGAGAAACGCCGCTTCCTTCCGCAGATCAATGTGAAGTTCTTGTGGAGAAAAGGGGATTTCGTCATGGAAAAATGTGAAGTTCTTGTTGAGAAACATTGATTTCTCCATTGGCAAAAGCTAAAGTTCTTGTGGAGAAACACCCTAATTCATAAGTCAAAAACGTCAAGTTCTTGTGGGGAAACGCCGATTTTCTCCACATAAAAATGTGAAGCCGATTTCTTAAGTCAAACAAATCAAGTTCATATAGAGAAACTTCCATTTTTTCAGTGAAAAACGTGAAGGTCTCGCGCAGAAACGCCGATTTCTTCATGGAAAAATATGAAGTTCTGGTGGAGAAACACCCATTTCGTCAGCCAGAAATATCAAGTTCTTCTGGAGAAACGCCGATTTCTTCCGCAGAAAAATGTGAAGTTCGTGTGGAGAAAGGCCGATTTCGTCACGAAGAATACGACGTTCTTATGGAGAAACACCGACTTCTTGGGTACAAAACAAGAACTACTTATGGAGAAACGCCGATTTGCCAGTGAAAAACAAGTTCATATGGAGAAACGTCGGTTTCTTCCGCAGAAAAATATGTTGTTCTAGTGAAACATGTAGTTCTTGCGGAGAAACACCAATTTCTTCGGTGGAGAACATGATGTCCTTATGAAGAAACGATGGTTTCTTCACGTAGAAAGTTTGAAGTCCTTATGGAGAAACGCCCATTTCTTCAGTGAAAAACATCAAGTTCTTTCTGAGAAACACCGAGAAAAACCAGTCAAACACATTAAGGTCTTGCGGAGAAACACCTATTTCTTCTGTCCAAAACATCAACTTCTTGTGGGGTAACGACGACAGAAAAATGTGAAGTTCCTATGCAGAAACGCCGATTTCTTCAGTCAAACACTTTAAGTTCATATGGAAGAACGTCGACTTCTTCCGGAGAAAAACGTGATGTTCTTATGTAGAAACGCCGAGTTCTTCATGGAAAAATATGAAGCTCTAGTGGAGAAACACCTATTTCTTCAGTCAGAACCATAAAGTTCTTTTGGAGAAAGGCCGATTTCTTCATGGAAAAATAGGAAGTTCTTGTGGAAAACGATTGATTTCTTCAGTGAAAAGCATGAAGTTCTTATGGAGAAGCGCCGTTTTGTATCTCACAAAAATGTAAGCTCTTGTGGAGAAACGCCTATTTCTTCACGGAAAACTCTGAAGTTCTTGTGGAGAAACGCCGATTTCTTCATGGAAAAATATGAAGTTCTGGTGGAGAAAGTCCGATTTGTTCCGCAGAAAAATCTAAAGTTCTCGTGGAGAAACTCCGATTTTTTCATATCATTCCTGTTTTATTCTTATACATGAGCGGACGTGTCTAACTTTATTCGCTCGTCCACCATCTTTCTTTTATTTGCAATTTGATAGTTTGTCGAATTTATACTGATTTAAACTATGCATACTACGCAACAGCAAAAGTTTTCAAATCGACGTGCTAATTATGGTTTAGAACTGCGCAAACCATCCTCTAGTTCCCGTACATCAACACAGTCTGGCTCTCCATCTAGTGAACTTAAGCAGCTTGCTGTCTCTGAAGAACTCGTCTCATCTATAATTAAAATTGTCCTGTCTGATCAATCGTTAGTAACCAACATCGTTAAAACTGTTATAGAAAGTGAATCGGTACAACGGTTAGTTGAATCTGTTGTTGATTCTCGAATGGCTCAGTGTCAAGAACGTATTGATCGACTTGTAACTACAGTAAACACCTTGGAATAAACCATTGAACAGTTACAATCTGATCATAACGATTTAGAACAGTATGGACGAAGATGAGGTATGAGATTTTATGGTATTCCAGAGAATGCGTATGAAAATACTGACGAATTGGTGATTGAAATTGCAAAGGAATTAGGAGTACAAGTACATGAAACAGATATTTACGCCTCACATCGTCTTGGTAAAAAATTAGCAAATCGTTCAAGACCTTTGATTGTTCGTTTTCTTCGTTATAAAACACGTCAAGAAGGTTTGAAGAATCGTTCTAAGCTAAGAACGAGTGCTAAATATCAAAAAGTGTACATTAATGAAGATCAAACTCGTCTCAATTATGATTTGTATCGTTATGCTCGTAAAATTTTGGAGAAAAGATATATTTATACCCAAAACGGTGTTCCATATTACGTAGCTTCTGATGGCTACTGCTATTTGTTATCCTCGTACCAGGCAATTGACGAACTTCGTATAGTTGAACTCGGCGACCTTGTGAATTTAAAACAGTAAAAGAAAGTGGCGGTCGAATACATGTAGGTATTATACATGAAGAAACAAAAAAAAAAAATGACATTTCTCTTCTGCTTACAACCTTGTGTTACACAATTCTTTTTCTTTCTTTCTCCTTCTTATCTGTGTGTGAATGAAATATTCTGTGCCAGAAATATGCTGAACTGTCAAAAGAGAGCATCTCCCTTACCATCAATAATTTTTTACCATGATATCAGCTAACAAAAAATGTAAAGGTGTACTCAGTTCTTTGAAGATTTCTGTGCACAATATCAGAAGCATGCTCGCAAATATAAGTGAGTCAAACACACTTAATAGCATACACCC